CCAAACAAAGTAGTTTCGCTTTCACAACGAAGCACACAGCGCCTTCACGACATGGCGGCGGAAGCAACAACAATACTACAGCATGAATAAAAGTTACGCCTTCTTTCTTTGCGTGCACATTTGGGCGGCATTATGCAAATCTTCCCACATCGTGACGTAGACATGTGGGGGCGTGTTAGAACGAGGCGTTTTAGGTAGGTGTGGCTGACTCTGAACTTTTATAAAGAATATCTCTTTGGATTTGAGACTTTAGTCTTTGCAACTTTACAGATCTTCTTTATGCACCAAGAGCTTGTAACACTCCAAAGAGAAAGGAAAAATTGAAATCGCATCATATGACCCCTTTAACATCCGAAGTAGATCTTCTGCAATCCATTTCCAGACTTGATCCCTTGATCCCTGGGGTGCTCAGTCTGAGGCATTCTGAAGCATTTTACTCAAATTTTGTGAGACGGCTGACCTGGACAGATTGCCACTGGTTTGAAAAGGTTTGCAGTTTATCTTATGAAAAAACTATAGCAGCTCTTTTAATCTTGGCATAAATGGCACAACTTATAAGAAAACATGACCAGTTTGCTGGTGTTTATATAAGTTATGTTTTCCTCTTTACTGTTCTGCACTTGAAGTAGTGACACATGTAGGGGTGTACTAACTTTTTCCACACAAGTTTTTTTTTTAATAGGCTGTAGAAATGATTACAAAATGTACATTCGGCATGGTATTTGATAAATTATAGGCCAATATATATATATATATCTTTGATTTGGATAAGAGATCACAATAAGACACTGGAGATATTGCAATGACGTCAATCCCCTGAAGCTAATGTTCCACCCTATAGCACACGGAAATACAACATTCTAATTCTATGTGCTTAGCCTTTTAAGTTAACACAGAAAGAAAATATAACATGAGAGACCACTGAACTAAACTTAGTTTTGTCTTAAAGTATGCTGAAAATACTAGCCCATGAAAAGCTCTAGCATCATCTGTTTATAGTTGACACATGAAATGTTCTTTTCCGCTTTAGTCATCTTGTAAATTAAAACGATTCATTTTCAAGTTTGAGCCAATGTTCAAATACATTTTGTTTGAATATTTCATGGTAATTATAAATATAAATGATTATGAACCAAACATTATAGATAAGCTAAAGAAACTGCAAAATTGCCAAGATATTCTGTATTTATGTACATTATAAAAGACATGCAAGTAAAAGCTGCACAAACATGCACAAATTGACGAAGAAAGCTGCACAAACACACGACAAGCCAAGTCCCAAAAATGTTGCCAAGACTTGTGTACTGCTGCTGTTTTGATGAGCCATGTATGCCTGGTCGAGCTTGAGTGAGGTATAACCACTATCTGGACTCAAAATGTGCATCTGGACCAGGGAATCCCAGAGTTTAACTACCGCCTCAGTTCAGGCTCACATAGTTTGTATAGGCTTGCATTAATTAAAATAAACCTAAGGGTACTGTACATCAGCCAGGTATACATAGCTAGGCGAAGGCTTGGTTCTATGCGTGTCATCAAATGGCCAAAGCTTACCAATAGCCAAAGACAGGACACGGAGCAGCAAGTTGATAGGGATGAGAGAAAAACATCAGGCCATGTTTGCTGATTTGTCTGATATTTAAGGCACATCTTAGCATTTCTGCCAAATATTTCTATGATCAAACGGTTGTGGACACATTGGATCTGTCTGGCTCCCACTTGCCGTCTCTTTCATACCTACTTTCTTGCCTGTCTCTATTGTCCTAGAAACAAAAAAAGAAGCCTAAATTAAATGGTTTTTGAGGTCCAGACACATAGAATGAGAGGAAAAAAAAACTCAGACTGAAAGGAAAAAATAAAAGAGAAGTAAACTAAATTCGGAGATGACAACAAAAGGAAGAAAAAGAACAACAGTTAACCCACAGCCAACATCTGTCTGTGGAAACCGTTAACATGATTGCAAAGATACTGAGCTGGATGTTGACATCACTGAATTCAATGATGAACGGTCTTAAACTGAAAAATGAGTGTTTACTATTGTCATTTTGCATTATTGACACTATTTTCCTAATTAATGCTGTTCAGTTGCTTTGACACAATCTGTATTGTTAAAAGCGCTATATAAATAAAGGTGACTTGACATTCCTAAACTACACCTCACCCTATTCTTTGCGGTTTAACAGACATCTGTGGATATAGGATATCCTGCTCTGCCTCTTGCATCAGAAGGGAAGCTGTACATAATGCTTAATTTTTTATTATTAATTTAAGAAGGGACTTTTGCAGGCTTGTGTATAATATCATGCTCCCTTCAAAAGGTACTTTCCAGCATATCTGTTCTACTTTCAATTTAACACTCTCACTCGAATCCCCTCTAACCAGTCCTTAACTTTCAGTTAGTATTATTCCCCTTTTAAGAGTGTAGGCACATCTCATCATTTGGGACATCTGGTTCAAGAAAGAGCGCTGGTCCAAAAACAGCCATCACTGATCAGAAATCCTCCCCATTTCTGTGGAATCACAAAGATGCAATTTTAATTTGTAAATTTAAAAGATGTCAGATGAACAAGATTTGAACTGAGCCACATCAGTTAATGTTCAGAGCATGGGCCTTATTAAGACTCAACTCATTCTGATTCATGTCTACATAAATCAAAAGTGGTTGTAACTGCACAGGAGAGACCGGATTACCTCTTTCAACCGGATCATCCTCCTGTCTTGCTTGTCTTACACTGCCCTGTGGGAAAGTTTAGGCAAATTATAATCGTGAATACAATCTAAAAAATTCACACTAGAATTTGTGGTCATTGAGATTTTTATTTTGGGAAGAATTTAATATTCAGCAATGATGCATTAAATTGATCAAAAGCGACAACATTTATAGATGTTACAAATTCAGCTTTGATAATCACATGAATAAATTATATTTTAAAACATACTCAAACAGAAAACAGTTATTTTAAAATTGTATTAATATTTCACAATATTATTGTTTTTACTGTATTTATCAAACATACTTAGCCACGATGAGCATATCAGTGAACATAAAACACTTTCAAAAACATGAAAAAATAACGACTCAATTTTTAAACGGTGTTTCTATCACAACAACAACTACAACAAAAACCCACCTGTGCTCCCTCATCATTGGAACGCTGTGGAACTGGAATCCATTCCCTAAAATTAAGATCAGTTTAACATGTTGTCACACTTAGCCTAAGGCGAGGAGCGAGGAACAAGGAGACCAGGAGTACACGAAAACAACAGGTTTTTAATCCAAACATCCATGGAAATACACGGGGCAGACAGGATCACAGGTGTTTCACCAGGGTAGACGTATAATCTCAGAAAAACACAGAATGCACACACTGGGGCTTATAAACACAGGGCAATCAGGGGAACACAGGCGCACAGAATGACTAATTAACAGGGAAGCGGAACACATGGGGAAGAAACTGGGTCACGGAACACAACAAACAGTCCAGGGGCGTGACATTACTCCCCCCTCCCGGTAGGTGAGTCCTCGCACCGTAGAAACAACATGGGGAGGGGAATGGGTGGGAACTAGGGAGGAGGCTCAGGACCAGATTGACCACATGTTGGTACAGTCTGCTGTAACGTTTATAACCCAGCTCAGTGGTCCTTAAACCTGTTCCTGGAGCCCCCCAACACTGCACATTTAGTTTCTTTGTCTGACACAAATACTTCAGGTCTAATTACTACTAATTATGGACTAGAGATCGACCAATATTGATTTTTTTTTTTTAGAACTGACACCGATACCGATTATCTGCATGTTTATGTGACCAATAACCAATATGCAGAACTGGTGTTTATTTATTGTTTTCCTTCTGTTTATGACACAATGATAACAAAGGTAATGAACTGAACAAGCATTTTTTTTTATATCAGTCAATACTGTAATTTCACTCCCTCCTTACACGTTACACATTTCCACAAATATAAAATTGTTAATTTAGCAACGTTTTGTTTTCATTTAAAAATGAATGTATATTTATAACACTATAATTTGTGTTATATTACATTGCCATTAAATTAAAACAAACTAATTAAAACTAAATTAACACTGATGCATTTATAAGTTTACATTTTTGCCAAGACATTGTTGATTGCTTGGTTTCTATTTCTGCAGCATCACGCAGTCCAGTCTGTGATGACCCTCTCAATGGTTTAAAATACCACTCCTCATAACTGCACATTAAAAAATCTACTATAATTGTGTCAAACAAACAGCTCATCACTGGAAAATATTCAATTTGAACATAATTTATTATTGTAGGGCAATATTAAAATATAACCAAAACAAACAAAAACTTGAGATACAAAAGCTCCAACTATCAAGTCACACTAAGACAAATAAAGTGTTCAAACTCACCGCTTGAATCTGAATATCACACCACCAACAACAGCAAGAACAGCACAGCAGATGACAAAGCCAAACAGACCCCAACAGACGGTGCTGGATTCTAGGAAAGAGGGATGGAGAGATGTAAAAGTGTCAAGTCCACACTTCTACAATGTTACTGTTATTCTGAAAAGGCTGACAAATGCTATAACTGCTTCTATAGTCATGGTTTGTCACAGATTACATTTATCCTAGATCAGTGGGGTTTCCAACTTTTTTTAGCGCGACCGTATTTTTTCTTTTTTAATTATCGTGAGCAATGTTCAATGCTGTAAAAACATGTTGTAATCAGAAACATTTGAAGCGTCCTTCTTCCCCGAGTTTTGTTACAAAGTCGTGGCCTAATGGTTAGAGAGTTGGACTCATCACCCAAAGGTTGCGGGGTTCGAGTCTCATACCGGCAGGGATTGTAGGTGGGGGCAATGAATGTACAGCGCTCTCTTCCACCTTCAATACCACGACTGAGGTGCCCTTGAGCAAGGCACCGCACCCCAACTGCTCCCCTGCCGCCGCAGCATAAATGGCTGCACACTGTTCCGGGTGTGTGTTCACGGTGTGTGTGTGTGTTCACTGCTGTGTGTGTGCACTTTGGATGGGATAAATGCAGGAAGCTTGTAGCCTTCATAATAGGGAGTACTCTCTCTGTTAATAGAGAGATATGAAAGATCAATGAGCATGTTCTGCTAGTACATAACAGTACAATTGATGGTCAGTAGTAAACTATCTGTAAAAAAACTAAAACAAAGTTGGATAACATCAAAAAAATTCAACTAGCAACCACAGGCCAACACCTCAGCAACTTATCAGAACAGCTTTGCATCGGTCTCTCTCTGAAACCTAAAACCTTCAAGCATCTCAGCCTACAACCTTTGCACTTGGCATACACAACAACATAAAGAAAGTAGACAAATCAAAACTGACCTTATTTGTTTTCTTAATGCACATTACTGTCCTTATTGTGAATGATTCAGCCATGCATTTAGTTTTTGACCTTGTAATCTTTAATCAAAATGCCATAACTTGCTCTCCCTGTGATACGACTCACTTGACATCTATGACGCATGTACACCAATGTTGCAGTTAATCTGCCTCCATTCCGATGTGCAGTGCTCACTCTTCAAAATCCAATCAACAACCGATGGATAAAATCAAGTCCTGTCCTATGTTCTTGCTCCCTAAGCTGTTTACTATGGGAATATGTCCCAATATGGCAGTAAAGTCTTGGAACCTGTGAGCTTGGCAGTTAAGCCAAAATATGCAAAAGTAACTCAAACCTGGTTCTCAAACCTCTCCATGAAGTACCCCCAGCACTGCACATTTTGTATGTCTCCCTATATCTGACACACCCACTTCAGGTCTTGCAGTCTCCACTAATGAGCTGATGAGTTGAATCAGGTGTGATCGATGTGGGCGGCATACAAAATGCGCAGTGCTGGGGGTACTCCAGGACAGGTTTGAGAACCACTGGCTTATAGAATAACAACTGCCACTGAGACAGATATATTTAGTGACTCTTTTTCATAAAGCATGCCTTCAATAATGTATTACCTGCTTGATCATTTTCTGTCTGATTTTCAGTTTATTTAAACTGAGTGCTAAATTATTTTAACTGTCAGGAGCAACTCTTCCATTAAGCACAGGCCATTACACACAGCCCAAAAAAATATTTGTATTACCTTGTCCAGGTGTAGCTGGTTGGTTCTGGGTTACTATCCACTTTACACCAGAATACTTTAGCATTTTTAGGACTGTCAGGAATTATAACCACTGACTCAGGAGGATCTAGGAAAAAATAATCAGCAAAAATAACTATATATCCATAAACACCATGTACTATATGTGAAACTAAAGCCATATTTCTTACACTTTGGGTTACAAAGTAGGAATGAGCACAACATTTTGAGAATAGTGATGCCTCCATCTTGTGTCAGAAATGTGAATTTTTTTTTTATAAACAAATAAATATATATATATATGTGTGTGTGTGTTCTCTTATGTCTTTGGTTATTGTTATCTTCATCTCCCTTTTTTATTAGCTGT